TGTAGCACTCGACTCAGCAATGAGACGGTTTGGAAAAGTATTATTCAAATTGTCCAGAATGAAACCAGTATTATGGGCTGGACATCCATCTTGTTGTAAACCATATTTCATCAAATCTAGGACCAGATAATCTTTCAATTTCTGGAATTATCTGTCGTTGGCCCATTGCAGAAGATCCAAATATTTTGGAGCAGTTAAGTTAGCGTCCATGAAGTACGGCCCAATAATATGTTCTCTATACAAACCGCTCCAGACAGTTACGTTTTGACGACTATGCACTCTAAGTTCAAAATACCTGTGTAAATTCTCCTTAGACCAATAACGGATGTGACTAGGATTATGTCGACCATGGAGTTGAAATGTCGACTCATCTGTAGAGACAATTTTTCTAAGAAAATCTTGATTTTCATTTGCCTTATTAATGACAGTTTCACAAAACGCGATTCGCTTGATGTTGTCCTGAGGATCAATTTTTTGGGAGTTTCGTACTTTGTACGAACAATACTTTTTTTTCTGCGGCTCCTCACCGTCCTTGTACTTGAGTCAAACTCGTGCACAAGCGCATGAGTCGAAATAGTTGGAGTTTCATTAACTAATGCCAACAATCAACAACAAATAATTTATTTGGCTTCTTGATCATCATTATTCTCCTGAACGTCAGTTCGTTAATGGTTTCGGGGAGAAATGCAACCGTATTTTTGAAAATTATTAACAATCCTAGAAACTTTTTACCTGGTTGTCGCCAGGTTAGCGCTAAATCGATTTGTCATTTTCTGACACGTGGACGCCTGCAAATTCGTCAGGTTACATCCTATATACCTAGTAGCTTGCCCCTCACTGTATGCATCCATTCCAGATAAGATTACTTGTGTTATTTCATTACAGCAAATAGTGGGATCAGCTGTTTTAAAGCAAACCTCTTGCCATGGAAAATCCAGGTAAAACTGTTTTAGGTCATTCCATTTTGCCGATTTATAGTGCCACATTTTACGAGGAAGTGGTTGTTGGCTTGGTGGGATGAGCATTTCGCACTTTGTTATTATAAGTTTATGATCGGACGAACCAAGTGGAGCATCTACTTGAATTGTGTACGAGTCAGGATTTGTGGTTAGGAACAAGTCTAAAAGCGCTGCAAATTCGCCCCTTTCTGAGATACGGGTAGGTTCATCGACAAGCTGCGTTAGACCACAACTTATGGCAAAAGCTTCTGCTTCTCTGCCTTCGTTATCTGTTTTGTTGTGGTGTTTCAGCCAGGGTATATTATGGACGTTGAAATCGCCTAAAAAGACAATTTCCGCCTGTGGATAGTTTGACTGTATACTATCACAGCTTTCGGATAATGTCGCGAAAAAGTTTTGGTACTGGGTGTTAGATGGCGGTCGGTAGAGGCAGCAGATAAACTTGGTCGATGACTTTGAGGTGAATTTTAGCCATATGATATCAAGGTTCGCTGGTTCTAGCTTCTCCTCTCGATGACATGAAAGGTCATTTTTAATGTACACACAGATCCCAAAATTATGTCCGCAAAATTAACGCGCTTCAATTTGTACAAGCCGGCAACATCGCACAATTTCACTGTCATTTCTTCGATCAGCTGATTATTGTTTTGCGGTCCATGTTACACGTTTAATGCATAGGAAAATATTGGAAAAACCTATTTAAAAATTAGTAAAAGCAATGGGGCACACAAATATTGTGTTTTTGGAAAGTGTAATAGTGACAGCAGAGTTGGAAGACCCTGATATTCCGAGGGATTAATTTTTTACCGCTTTCCCTGGCCATGTCTTAAACGTAAATTCCTTTTAAGTTCCAACGCGCTATTTTTCTCTACAATCTCATTACGAAAAATTGCACCCGGCACATCTGCTGCTGATAATTTAACGTTTTTAAAAGGCATTTGGGCCATTTTAAGTTGGAAAAGTTATTATTCACAACTTTTTTATAATACTTGCTATGCTTTTTGGAACGCAAAACAAACAGCCAACATAACCCCACTTATTTGACGCGCAAGCGCGTTGTGGACCTTGAAAAGGTCTATTATTGTTGTCACATTTTAGGGTTTCAATTTTTTTAATACCACCCAAATTTATACATGAGGATAGGCCTAAAATAGCCTATGTATTGCTTTCCACAAAAAAAAAATCTGATTCATACATGTTATTATTTTTCTTTGCAATTCAATTCACACATGCCAACCACTTTCAGATTATCCCCTGTATGGGACCTCAACTTGCAATTTGATGATTTTATAGGAATTTTATACAAATTCAAATATTTCAAATGATCTATAGACAATATATTACACATGGCACCTGTGTCAACCTTCAATTTAATTGTGGGGTTGCTCTCCCCCTAGCTAGGGGGTTGAAGCTACGGGGATGAAACAAACGGAAAAATAGTTCCCCCTCAAATCAAACATCGACGTGTCCCAGCGTTTTTCCAGATTCTCAACCCAAATCCAATAAATCGGGGTGGACTGTTTTCCCTGGGACACCCTGTATAGTTTAAAACCTTCTTTGCCTAAATAGTGCAACAACTGCGCACACTATTACCTCCTCCTAGTTACCTCAGAAGCTTTAAGCTAATTCTCAAATCTACATCCGCATTGGACTAATTCCACGGCTATCACCCATTGTATTATCATATATAATATCACAAGAGAAAAAAATTTGTCGGCAAAATGTGGGCAAAATTTTCGAAAGGTATGAAAGTTTGTTGCTTGGCAATTCCGCGAATCACATCATGGTACGCGCACTTGTATTGAATGATCCTGGCCACTTTTAATGTGCCCCAAGCCGCTCAGGGGGCGCGCATGTTCATCGCTGGTTACAGTGACTCTATAACCCACAGTGGCGACAATTGCTCTCTCATTTTTGATTGGTTCTAAAGTCCCATATATTTATATTGAAAACACCGCCATCTTGTTCCCAACCCCTTGTTACTTTTAAATATGAATATATGGGATTTATATAATAGTATATTAAAGTATAAGTGGATATTATTACTGATAGTTGTGGAATGCCTAATTTGTAATATGACACCTGGTATACCTGTCGTTGTCTGACAAATCAATAATTAAAAAGTTGATATTTAGACTTTACCTTTCTCAGGTTGTTGATGTTGTCCTGGTAACTTTATTAAAACACGCGCGTTTTTGAAAGTTGGATTTAAACACGCTTAGGAGTACTTTAAATAAGAAAAATAGGCTATCAATAAAAAAAACTTTTTTTTAACATGGGAGTTACCATTCTATATCCCCACTTAAACCTTATTCTATGAATCAGATTTTTGACCAAATCACGAGCCGTCAGGCTATTTATTAGCCAAAAGAACTATATAAATTACAACACAGCTTGACTATTGACAAGTATCATTTTGACTTTTCGTATATCACTGGTTGCATTGTTGCATACCTGACAACAGCTGCTAATCGGTTGGGAAGCGAATCCTCACCACATAGTTTGGGGAGGTACCAGTGTCAACAACAGAGGCGAGTCTTTACTACAATACAATATACCAAACAATTTGAGTATAATGAATGTAGGAAATAAACCTAACTTTGCTAATCCATCTAGGAAGAAGGTGATTAATATGACACTAACGATATGAGTAATTACGTCACAAACTGGCATGTATCTGATGAGGTAATTTGCTCGGATCATAGACTAATCAAATTAGAAATTTCAGGGGAAGAACTCTCTCGAGGGACCCGAAGACAAAAATCAATTTACTATTCGCTCAAGAATGGCGAAGAGACTAATAGACGGCTATAGGGAACGAATCCACTATCATCCCGGCTCAGAAGCAGAACTAAATTATTGGAACATGGCATATCGGAGACCAAGAAGCAGGACCGGACCGGGGCGCATATTCTTATTTTTCGTGCGCAGCGGCGAACAACGGAAGCGCCATAGCCAACAGGCAGATTGTTATAATGTCCGACAGGCACTGTATAGGCCCTTTCGAGCCAGACAGTGTCATAAAGATTAGTAGGTACGGGAATGCCAAGAAGTAAGTACACAGGTTTCTGACGGACCAGAATAAGGTAAAACTTATCTGGGTGCCAGGACACAGAAGTAGGTATGGAAGGCAATGAAAAAGCTGACAAACTCGCAAAGAGAGGATCAGAGACAAAACTTCTCGTGCCAGTGCCGACTTAAGGGATACCTGAAAGTAAGTATGACCAGAAGCCACATCAAAGAGTGAGTGCGTAAAGAAAATCGACACTACTGAAATTATTGTAAAACCAACCATGTAGCAAAAGGGCCGCAGAACTGGCTACACACCAGTAAAGTTCCACCTGAACAGGATGAACCTCTATGACGGAGACCTTAACAGCAGACTCTGCTATGGGGAACCCGAGACAGCCAGAAATATCACGGTAAACTGCGAGGCACTGGATCGCAGAAGACACAGCATTTTCGAACAACAAACGTAGACTCGAAAACAATCATGAAATACCAAGTGGAAGACCTGTACAGCTTTGCACAGAGCATTAAAATACTAGAGTGGTTGGAATAAACCAATCAGGCTAAGAACAATGAGTCTTTTCAGGATTCAGTGCTACATGTGGAAAACTGGTTGTACACTTTCTTTTGCACAAAATCTTAACATTGTCTAACATTTTTATAACGGAGTCAGCATTCAAAGTAGGATGGAATCTTTTAAAACGCAAGAAGTTCAAATTGCAAAAAATTACCTATATACACTCACTAGTTTCGATTTCAAATAAAACCATCTTAGCATTGAATGAAATCGGAAACTTTCAAGGATCCTTAGTAGATTCTGCTGCTAATTAAAACTTATCGATAATGATATACGAAAATAAAAGCATACCTACTAAAAACATCCAAGTATTTTTAATAACATATGCTTTCTCGTATCCCTGACTAATTTAACTTAATAACAGTAAAATAACCAGTTTTTTTTTTAATCAAAATTAGGTTAGCACAAATATACCCAAACCAACCATCTATTCGAATCATATGTAGGTATTTTCAGAAGGTTTGCTAATAAATTTTTAATATCAAATTGATAGAATTTTTAATGGAACGCTAAAAACAATGCATGCTCCGTTAGGGTAGGTTTCTAAATTTAACTAACTATTTAGTTACATAGCCAACCTCTGGCTGCATGTCCAAAGAGCGTAAAAACTAGTTGAAGTCATTAAGCCTGAAAGCCCTTATGTAACCTGGAAAATCGTCTGAATTACTTTACTCTCCCAGTGGATACCTTTTTTGTATATGCAATCACGAAAACTAATATTGCTATTTTATATGTAAAGTGCTTTAATGTAACAGTTTCATTTCGTCGGGAACTTTGAACACATTGAACGCAAAAATATCTTTGTAAATAAAATGGATACTGGTAAGCTTCCAAAATTTTCTATACTTTTAAACCATCAAATTTTCCAATGAACTAAGGCTTTGGGCTTATAGCGAAGTTAAAATAATTTTAGTATGTATCTGGGCCTCATGATATAAGCACTCCAAATTAATTGAAAATGTTGTGTGTGTGTTTGGATAAGTAGATTCAATAACAAATAACATCCTTTGAACTTTTCTATTTAAAAATTGCATTTGCTGCTTATCTAATTTATGTTTAAATATGAACAATGAAATTTGATTTGCATACATACTTTGTCTAAATAAGGGCAAATGCGAAAAAGTGCAAAAACGGCGATTTTTCAGGTAATCAATCTTCAAATATTAGAAAATTATATTTTATTTTCAGATAAGATTGCCGATACCAGTATATACTCAACCCCAGGCTTCTTATCAAATCAAGAAGAGTTGGAAAACAAGACGCACATCGATTTAATAGAAAGATTTAAAGAAAATTGGGGTGTAAGATATTGGACTCAGGGATTTTTCAACGAAGAATATATTTACGATATTAACATTCATTGGTTAAAATTTAACCCTCCAAAAAGTTCTCATTTTATTATTTTGGGGGTACTGTATATTGTGATCATGACGTTTGGTTGTATGGGCAACGGTTTGGTGGTTTTTCTATTTTGCAGGTAAGTCATAATCTTGATTATGCTGATTGCATAGTGGTAAGAAAATACCCTAGAATTATTAGTTAATTTTGGATTTGGACTAGATTTTTCAAAGTACAAAAAAATAAGTTTCAGATCGTCGTACGCCTGGCAACATTACTAGCAACAAAAATACCTACTCCTTTGTAGCTTTGTAGGTATGTCTTCACGTTATCTCTTTTTTAAAACGATTGCTTCCACAGAGTCTGAAAAGCTCTGTAATCCAAAGGAGTCAGAGCGGACCTGCCAGTGAGCTATCACAATGCCTCGGAAATCCGAACCAATACTCCTGAGATCCTGTATAATATTTCGAGGTTTCCCACATTGTTGATTGTTGTTGTGTTTCATCATTTTTGAAAATCCAATTTTTCTTTTTGTTAGGATTTATAGGAATCCTGTGTTCTCTGGAAACAAACCTGAGGAAGCTTTGGGTTAGTTTGGGTTGTGGCCAACAATTTTTTGGTTCTTTTCTTTTGTGTTTTTATAAGCCCTTTGTTTGGTGTTAATAATTTCCTTGTCTCTTCTATGTGCCATATTTTTTCCTGTTTCTTTACCTGCTTTGAGCAATCCGAATAATTCCCTCAGAGAAAATCTAATAGAGAGCCTCTACAGCTTTGTTAACCTCCATGCTATTTCCATTCAATTTTGGACAAGTTTTCAAAAAATCGAACTTAGTCAAATCTTTCTTTCATTCCGAGCACTCTTGGAACTGCCAGAAAAAAATCATATCAATCGGATTTTGCTGGTGTAGGTACTATGTAACTTTAGAGGCAGGCTGAGAGTCTAGTTAAGAGTCATCTCCAAAAACAGGGGCAAAGAATTTATTATGGTCATTTCGAATTTTATAAAGTTGCGGCTACTCATTGGGGCACATACTAGTAATAAACTCCTATGCTGTTGGTATAGGTGAGACACTGGGATAAGATCCCTAGCAATCAATATTTGACTTTTTTGTGTTTACATTTTATAGTCTATAAGGATTGGATAAACCCTTCATAGGCATCCGTATTAGAATTAGGAAGAAAATAGGTATTACATAATCCTCATCTGATCCTATCAAAACACGCGTCAAATGCTGGATGATTAGAGCTGGGAGACTAGGTAAATTTTGAATAACTGCGACGTTTCGACTGGTGAACTATATCTGGCTTAAGCTGGTAGAAACACTAGAGAGAAAGAATTTCAAAAATACTCACATGTTGGCAATAAGTCATAAATAACTATTTTGTTCATAACATACAATTCTTGAAAAGTTTAAACAAATTTCAAAATATTTCCAGGAGCAAATCTTTACGGACCCCAGCCAACATGCTAATTGTTAACTTGGCTGTAAGCGATTTTTTAATGCTTCTAAAAATGCCTGTGTTTATTTACAATTGCTTCTACCATGGTCCTGTTTTAGGAGATATAGGTAAAGAATTTAAAACCAAAATAGTTTTTGTACGACAACGTATTGAATTTATTTTTAGCTTGTCGTATCTATGGATTTTTTGGAGGGCTTTGTGGCACAGCATCCATAGGAACACTGGCAGCTATTTCATTTGACCGATACTTTGTAGTCAAGTATCCTCTAAAACGATTTTCCAGACATCGAATTTATTTTTGTTTGGTAAATCAATGCAGCTAAAATAAATGATATGTTCATATAAAAAATTAAATTTATTGTAGATATTCTCCTGGATCTACGCTCTATGTTTTTCCCTAATCCCGTTGCTGGACATTGGCTTTGGCAAATATCAATACGAGGGCTATTTGGCAAGTTGTAGCTTTGACTATTTATCAGAAAAAAAAGCCATTAGAATGTTCATTTTAATTTTCTTTTTTGCTGCTTTTATAGTTCCCTTGAGTATCATTAGCTTTAGCTACTATAAAATTGTAAGAGTTGTTGGAGGCAGATCTAGAGCAGTAAAAGACAAAAGGGATTCAATTAGGTAAATAAATTCGACTAATTTGGATCCATTTTTCCAAATAAAATTTTTAGGCATGTGAAAGAAGAAGACGAACGCAAACAAGAACTCAAATTAGCTATCATAGTCCTTATAGTAATATTTCTATGGTTGTTCTCATGGACTCCTTACGCCACTGTAGCTTTGTTAGGAATATCTGGCAACAAACACCTAATCACTCCTCTAGCGTCAATGATTCCTGCATTATTTGCCAAAACTACCAGCGCCATAGATCCATTTGTTTACGCAATGTCCCATCCAAAATTTAGAGAAGAATTATGGAAAGTATTGAAAATCTTCAAGAAAAAAAAGAATCCAAAAAATAACCGTAAAGTTTGGTCAACTGAACCGACATTTGATACATCAATAACATTTGCATCCAGAGCCTCTTCATATGACGACGATGATGGCGTGGAAGAAGAAATGGTTGAACTTGGATTGCCTTCAGTTGCTGCCGAAGAATTTTCATTTGAAAGATTTGAAAAAATGGATTTTAAGTCAAAGGAGCGGGAATTGAAAAGACGAGCTTCAGCGGCCAGTCTGTTATGTTTCAAACCAACTTTTACTAATAAACGTTCTAGTTTTAGAAGACTGTCAAGGCGTATATCGACTTTAAGCAAATCTCGAAGCAAGGAGGAAGATGAAAGTACAAATTAGGAATAGAAAAGTTTCATGTTTTGATTTATGCAATCAATCTCAAAATTAGTTTGATGTTTCATTAAATAGGATAGATTTTTGTATTTATTTGCTATATTTATATAAATTATGAGAAATAAACAAATAAATTAAATCTTATGAGTCATCTGTTTTTTAACCTCAGAGTAGTAAGTAGCATAATATATGACAAGTCATTTGTGACGGGGGCCAACATTAAGTATCCCACACACCAACGCGATACCGCGGGAGCGGGAGCGGGAACGTATGAAAGCATTCATACTGAAGCGTCCTATCCCTCACACACTCGGGACTGCAGCGTTCTATTTTCGTAACGCGGCTTGCACTGTTTTTCCCGCTGCCGCGTTGTTCCCGCCATATATTCATATCGGAAGATAAATTATTACACCAGTGCAAGTGCAATGTCGTTCTTATTTACTGAAAAATTAATCGAATTGGTAAAAAAATACCCAATTTTATATGATTTGGGTACAAGAATATCAGGAAAAGGGACAAAATATGGGACCAAATTGGCGCCGAATTGAATGAAAGTGGTAAGTAAACTAATAAAACATAATTAAGCTAGGTACTTAGTTTTATTTTTAATTTTATGTATGGAATTCAATTGAATAATATAATAATTGAAGAAAGTTTAGTAGGTAGGTATCTACTTAACATAAAAAAATTTAATTAAATATTATTATTAAAAAAAGTGACAAACTTTTCACGGGCTTCAAATGCTAAATTTGGGGCTCTTCTAGGGTCGTTTTCAATGTTTCTAAATGCGTCCAATGTAGTTTCTGGTGGTTCTAAAAACTGAAAATATTGGTCATCGCATTTTTTTGTAATTAGATAATTATGTAAAATACATGTAGTTTTCACAATCGAAACTGTAGTTTCTACTGACACTTCGATAGGTCTGTAAAAAATTCTCCACTTCTGAGGCAAAATACCAAAAGCATTTTCCACCATCCTTCTTGCTCTACAAAGCCTTTTATTATAAATTTCTTTACGTGGATCTGTTCGGGATTGTCTATAAGGATAAGGGATAAGGCCTCATTAAATATGTTCTGAGGGCGAATGCTTCATCGCCTATCAAGACGTAAGGGCATCTTTCATTTTGATTTGGCAAGTTTTTGTCATTCGGAATTTTCATTTGTCCTTGTTCAAACTTCTTTCCCATATTGGATGCTTCAAAAATGCCCCTGTCGCTATTTTTTCCAAAACCTCCAATGTCAACGCACAAAAATTTATAATCAGTTCCAACAATAGCCATAAGAACGATGGAAATTTTTTTCAAGTAACAAAAATAATTTGATCCGCTCTTGTCTGGGCATTTAATTGTAATATGTTTACCGTCTATACTGCCGATACAGTTTGGAAATTGCCACTTTGTCTCAAATCTTTCAGCTGATTTTTTCCATATTTCCTCAGTTGGTTCTGGCATAAATTCATTTTGTAATCTTTTGCTAATTGCATTGCAGACTTCAGTAACAATTTTACTAACGGTTGAAAATCCAATGCGGAAACTGTGACCGATTGTATAATAACTGTCACCAGTGGCAAGAAATCTGAAATAAATTGCATTATTTCAATTTCAGGCGAGGAAGTGAAGAAAAGATGGAAAAATTTGAGGGATTCGTATGCGAAATATTTAAAATGTATTAAAACGAAAACAGGTCAAAGTGCAAAGAAAAACTACAGCAAATGGCAATGGCTTCACTGATGGAACCATTTAAACCATTTTTGGCATTTGCTAAAACAGATTCAAATATTACTGGTCCTGTTGATATCAGTGAATCTCTTGATGAAACTATAAGTGAAAATATAAATGAAACCCAAGAAACATCTGATTACTCTAGTCATTTAGCAATCGAATCAGAAAATATTATTGAACAGCCTCAAACAAACGAAGAATATAGAGCATTTGAAAATATCAATGAGGAAAAAAATACATATCATGTAAAAGCATCATTGTTATCTACACCATCAACTTCCAAACCAGTTATTCGAAAAAAAGCCGGAAGTAATAGAGTATGCAAAAGGTCGAGTCCCTCGGAAGATACTGCAGCGGGAACGGTACTTGACTATCTGCAAAACAAAAAAAAACAAAAAAACGACGAACTAACTCCCACAGACATGATATTTTTGGGATACTCTCAAACCTTGCAAACATTTTCACCAAGAAGACAAGCCCAAACAAAAATGAAGATTGCTGCAATCATGACAGAACAAGAATGTTTGCATCTTGAAGGACTGACAGCAAATAATCAGGTAAATTCTGGCGGGGACACATATATACCACCATCATCGCTTTGCTTACATCATATATACTTTGCAAGAAAACATCTACAGAGAGCCTTTGACCAATTTAACCAATTTAACGACCTTGAAATCACCAGAAGGAACCAGTTCAATACCATCAGCAGCAAATTTCTCGCAGTATGGCAATAGCCATTTAATATCAACAGAGGAAAGTAGTGACTATTCAATAATGACACTTTCTCCAGAAGCACATTCAACAGCAAACTTTTTCCAGTCCTATGTCCCATAAAATAGGTACTTAACTTTTGTAAAAAATAAAATCTACCTATTTTCAGTATTTTTGTTGTTTTCTTACCTTAGTGTTACTGCAAGACGTTCTTCTGGACTAATTGCCTGTCGAAAATTTTTATGAATATCTCCTCTAATCCTATCTAAAATTTGATCAAAACATTCAGGTGTCATTCTAAAGTATATGTAGAATCGTTTTGGGTCTTTTCGCAGCTGCGGCATCAACGTGTGAAATTCACCATAAGCTTCTCGTTCAAGATTAATATCATGAACTCACTTTCTTTTTTTCCTACAAGTTATGTACATTTTTTTACAAAACACTATTACCAAATTTAGTATTTAATATTTTTTAACAAAAAAGTACCTATACTTATTACTTACCCTCGTTTCTCATCTTCCGCTAAAGCAAGTAGAAGAAGGGCTTCTTCTTCGTCGGACGAGGATGAGAAGTTCATTTCAATATCAATAGACTTTTTTCCAATCACAAAACACGAAACAAATCCGTTAATTGCCGCCGATAAATCGCTTTGGTGTGAATAGACGAAAACTTCCCGCTTTCCGCGGGTATCGCGTAGTTCCCGTTCCCGCTCCCGCTCCCGCGGTACCGCGTTGGTGTGGGGGATCCTTTTTAATAATGCTAAAAATCCATCCATTACCATCCAGTCGAGGGTAGACATCATGGATTGACAATAAGAAGACAATCGCTCGTGCACTGTAATCTCTTGAATAACTACTATTTCGCTTGTAATTTAATTTCTTACTACCAAAACAAATCTTCCCAAAAAGTTCACGTGCTACTGTAACTTTTTTCTAGTAATAATACTATGTATTAACAAGGTAGAATACTTAGCATACACTTATCTTAATACACAAATTAAGATTATGTGTTTGAACTAGGCGTTAGGCGTTAGGGCTGATAATAACTATTCCAAACATGCATAGATGAAAGTGTATGGAAAGTTATTAAAGTTAAAATAGAGAACGAGTAGCAGAAGAACAGGAAGATCAACTCTAAGCTTATTTACTCTCTGTAGATCTAAAGAAAGCACATAACAATATCCCACATCCCACTGAAAAAGCTATATGAAGCACCAGGAAAGACACGTGAATTGAATTGATAGAGGAATACCAGAAATTCATGGGGTTTGAAGGTAATCTGAAACAGAGTATATGACTATAGGAGGTGAACAACAAACTCTGAAATTGAATAATGGACTATAAATAAAACAATGGACCTACTAAATACAACTATTTGGGAATGAAAATCTAGCATGACGCATGAGCGAACCCTCGCCAAGCAATCATTCAAAGATCGGAATATACAAGGACGCAAAGCAATATATATTCCAAATTGAGTACTGTGGGACCAAAATATCAACAAAACTAACTAGAATATACAACACCGTAATCAAAAGCATAATCACATATATTATGTAGTTTAGAGGACTGGCCACTAAAGAACAGAACCGCAAAAATGCTGGAAGCAACTGAAATGGACTTTTGGAGGAGAACGACAGATCAAAAATGGAAAGGATAACAAATCTGAGAATTAGAAAAATTATGGACGTAAAACACACAATAGTAGATGATTATATAAAGGGTAAAAAATGACAGATACAAGCAAATTATTGAGTGGAAGCCAGGATGAAGAAGAAGATGCGGCAGACCCATAGCAAGCTTGAGAAGTGGAGTAGACAAGGAAATGAGAGACAGAGGAGGATGCCCAGATTGACAGAGATGGTTGAAGTTCGGAGTTCGGAGAACGCTATAAATTGATAATTATACAGGGTATCAATTTGAAAACGTTCAATGATTATATCTGAGAGAAAACAGGTTAGTTACTACCAAGGATGATACACACCTACAGAATTGTTTATCTGCCTCGTTTTTGGTATTCGCCGCCATATTGGTGTTTCACCATTTCCGACGTCATAACTAAGTCGTCAGCTGTTTAAACAGCCTACGTCAAGGCGAGAAATAACATGCTGCCTACGTCACAACTGGTGATTTAGCGTGGTGGGGGAAGGGGGGATTTGTTACACACAGGCCTTATGAGGATATAGGCTATCCCGTAGGCATTTATTCATTCCGTAAATGTATATGGCACCTAGCACAATACCATTGGTCAGATTTAAAATTTAAACCAATTGAACTTCGAGTGCCATACGCGCGTACGGAATGTAAATCAGTGCCATATGCACTTACCGATTGAAATATACCTAGTTATGCGTTATGCGCAGGCAAAATCACGTCTCCAGCGGCCAAATGTCCTGTTTCATTTTTGTGATTGTCGGGCTTTCATATAAGTAGGTAATTCTTCTAGTTCGGCGTTGCGTCCTCTCTTTCGATTTTCTAAAAAATGTTTCGAACAAGAAATGGCAGTCATTGCTTCGCCGACATTATTTTAATCAGATCTTTTGTAGTTATTTCGGTGTTTGAAATCGCCATGTATGCTGCGACAACGTTACTATAGTCAGAGCTGGGCAGTAGCTAGCTACTAAAACAAGCTTCTTAAGCTACTTTTGGTAGATAGTTAATAGTTATTTAGGTATTAATGGCGCAAAGTGTCATTTACCGCCTGAGGGTGTGGTTAACGATACTTAACGCCCAATTACGTTTTATGCGCAGCGGACTCTTCTAGTTCAAAAATGAAATTACTATAAAGTGCGTTTTTTTTAAAGATAAAAGTCAAACTGACATTAGGTTGGCAATACAATGTAAAATTGTCAATGCTTTCAAATTTTCCATGTAGAAAAGGCTTGTGTTGCCAACATAGTTACTAAATTTTTGACTTGGGGAATTATCTTTAAAAAAAAAACAGATTTTACTTATAATATAATGGCATCCATTCGACATTGTTTTCAAAAATAAACAGTTTTTTTTTTTTTTTTACGGATATGCGCACTCGCAAGGAAATGTCCTATCACGCTCGAGAAGCGGCAAGTGCGCGGAAATGTCGGTGTATGTTGGTCTTGAAACGGTTCAGGTTGTAAACTGCAGGGAAAACCGTCGCAGGGAGTTTATTCCACAGCGATGCTGTTCTCCAGAGATATGAATTCTGATATAATGAGGTTCTTGGTGCCTCTAGTTTGACAGTAAATTCATGGTTACCGTCTGTTTGACGGGTTCGCCTGGTAGGTGCTACTCTCGGTGGAATCATACGTGCCAACTCTTCAGAGCATTTTCCGTGATAGTACCTGTAGAAGAGAGATAAATCGCCCACAGATCTGCGATGTTCGAGACCATCCAAGTTACGAGTAAGTGCGGGGTCATTGATCAGCTTGATAGCTCGTTTTTGCACGGTATTCAAAAGCATCAAGGTATGTTTGGGTGCTGCACTCCATATATGTGAGCAGTACTCCATAGTTGGTCGAATCTGGGCTTTGTAGAGTGTCAGCAATTGGCTTGGTGTGTACAGATGTCTTGTACGAAATAGCACCCCCAGCTTTTGGGAGGCCCTTATAGCAATATCTGCCACGTGACTGTGCCAAGACATGTTGGTCTCTGCAGTAACCCCCAAGATGTTCAACTGACTCTGTAATGTGGACAGCACTTCCAGATAGCATGATGTTTGGCTCACCGGTGCTGGTCTTTTTTGAAAACAGAGCTGCTTGGGTTTTCTGCGCGTTGAACTGTACAAGGTTTTTGTTACCCCAGTCCTCTATTATCTCCAGGTCGTTATTTATCTGCGATATTTGAGTTAGTCTAAGATGATGGAATTCACGTGCGGAAAGACCTGTGGGTGGTATGAGTGAGGAGACTACATTGCCATCGTCTGCAAAGTTTTCCCCTTATAAAGGCACGTTTCCACCAACCTATCGCCCGCATTTGAATTTACCGCTCGATAAAAGTAACTTTATACTTTAATTGCTGAAGCTACAATTATCATTTTCCGGAAAATTCTTATCCTGCCTTGCTTAGACTAGTTTCTAGTTATCTCTGTAGGTACCTATGTTTTATGTGTCCTATTTTAAGGTAGGCGCAGACCAACACGGGACTGCGGTAGCGGAAGCGGAAACGGGAACGATGCGTTAGATGCGGCAGCGGCGAGTTTGCATAGCATGCACACCAACGCGATAGTTTTCGCCATACTGGAAACACGTGGTATTGTCCAAACAATACAAAAACATCATCAAACTACTATGCGAACTGCGGAAAAACGCTGCACCTTGCGAACCGAAATTCATTCGCAGACATCCCGCAAATAACATGCGTTTCCTTCGTACCGATATGCACTCCTTCATTTCCCGCTGTTGATTTACGTCCCGCAGAAGTTTCGTTCTCGCTCCCGCTCCCGCTCCCGCAGTCCCCGGCTCGGTCTGCGCCTACCTTTATTCTCGCATTCGCAGATCACTGTGATCAAAATGAACCTAATAAATTAATGTCCAGTGGTTTTTGAAAAAATTAGAATTATGCCCGTATTACATCTGTGTATTTTTCCGTGTATTGATTCATGTAGTTCAGGGTGACAACCGAAAAACTTCAAACGCAACATAAATCAGCATTATGAACAACAAAATAATGTTGGCACCCTGAACTACATGAATAAATACACGGAAAAATACACAGATGTAATACGGGCATTAGGCAATTCAATCCATCTGTCAGATAGGGAAATTCAATATGGCGTGGCGGCCAAGCTAGTTTGTTCTGAATGTGTTTTTATGCGTATTTCAAATTATTTTGCTTAGAGTTTTGCTTGCAACTTTGAGTTGGACTATTTAATAAAATATTTGTTGACTAGGTACCTAAACTAATAAATCGAGCAGAGTTTAGATATTTTTTTTTGTTTTTTGGCCCATGTGTGGCCGACACGCCATCTTGAAAGTCACGTGGTTTGAATTGCCTAATACTACTTTTTAGAGAAACTTAATATGTTATTTTCGTATGATGATAATTATGAAATTAAATTAGGTAAGGTATGTACATTGATGGTGGCGATTGTGCACGCTTTTTTGTTTTTATCAATTTAACTTTCAAAAA